CTTGGCCCTCTGTGGCCTCCGAGTTCATCAAGGGGGCCAGAATCCTCCATCCTTGTCCAGCTGTTTGCACCTTGTACCACTTGTATCTTAAATAAACTTTTTATTCCAAATTCTAAACTGTGTTAACCAACCATTGAAAACACATGTGGAATTGCCGAGGGGATAAGATTATCTCGGAATGGTACATAGTCGACCTTAAGAGAAGTTCATAAGCAAGTCATTTGCAGTTAAGAAACAAGAGTGGACAAGGTAGAAAAAAAAAATAAGATCTAATACTTCAAGAAACATGACCAGATTCCCATAGTTATCGATATAACTGAAAACGGGCAAGTAATGATGAGAAAGCGAATGATCAACATGACTTGCTGAGAAATCATTTCCACTTTCCAGTAGAGCTCACCAGCGATCTGACTATTTTTAATTTTCAAACTAAGAAGAACAAGTAGTGAGGACTAACAGCAAGAACTGGCATTCCATTCCTCGAGTAATCGAGATACAGGATCAAGAGGATCAAGAGTAACATGTCAACATGAAAGGAACTACGACACAAATTTCGAAGGCTGGAGTTTCTCTCTCCTTATTTGTTGGACAAATGACAATTGACGCGTACAGTTATCGGCTCTCAATAAATTCAAAATTGAGGACACCAGTTAGNTATCGGCTCTCAATAAATTCAAAATTGAGGACACCAGTTAGAATCTGCCTTTCTAGATATCAGTTCAAAAGGTAGAAGAAGGGAGGGGACATACACACAGAAACATAAGAAAACAGGAACCATGAATCTATGATGGAAAAACACCACGTATTCAGCTCTTCCAAACACTATGATTGCAAAGTGAAAAGACAACACTCGATTTGAAAAAGGAAAGGACACAGATACACAGAAACATAAGAAAACAGGATCCATAATGTATGAAGAATAAACAATATTGAAATACTTCTCGGAGTCGGAAGGCTCACAGTGTTTCGAAAAATAAGAAAAAATATGAAACAGCAGAGGATCCAACAGCCATTTCT